GGAATAGAAGGATCAGACCTCAACATAATAAAAGCCATATATGACAAACCCACAGCCAACATCATACTAAATGGGCAAAAAGTAAAACCATTTTCCCTAAGAACAGGAACAAGGCAGGGATGTCCATTCTCACTACTCCTGTTCCACATATTACTGGAAGTATTAGCCATTGCGATTAGTCAAGAATAAGAAATGAAAGGCACCTAAATTGAAAAAGAATAAGTAAAACTGTCCTTATTTGCAGATGACATGATATTGTACATAAAAAACCCTAAAGACTCCATAAAAATTATTAGATTTAATAAATGTAGCAGGACACAAAATTAATGCCAAGAAATCTATGGCACTTCTATACACCAATAGTGAACTTACAGAAAGAGAGACTAAAAAAATAAATCTAATTTATTATCACACAAAAAATATTATAATACCTAGGAATAAACTTAACTAAGAAGTTAAAAGAGCTATGTGCAGAAAACTACAGGACACTGAAAAAAGAGATAGAGGAGGACATAAACAAATGAAAGAACATACCATGTTCATGGATTAGTAGAATCAACATCATTAAAATATCCATATTACACAAAGCAATCTATAGATTCAATGCACTCCCCATTAAAATACCAAGGGCATATTTCACAAACTTAGAAAGAACTCTTCAAAAATCCATCCATCTCTAATAATAATAATAATAATAATAATAGACCTCAAATAGCTGCAGCAATCCTGAAAAAGAAAAACAAAGTAGGTGGGATCTCAATACCAGATTTCAAGATATATTACAAAGCCACTGTTCTCAAAACCGTCTGGTACTTGCACAAGAATGGATATATAGACCAATAGAATAGAATAGAGAACCCAGAAAATGACCCAAACCACCATGCTCAATTAATATTTGTCAAAGGAGTACGAATAGATGATAGAGTCAAGACAGTTTCTTTTATAAATGGTGTTGGGAAAATTGGGCAGACACATGGAAAAAAATGAAACTAGACCACCAACTTACACCGTACACAAAAATAAACTCAAAATGGATAAAGGACTTAAACTTAAGATAGGAAACCATAAAAATACTAGAGGAATCCACAGGCAGCGAAATCTCAGAAATATGCTGAAGCAATTTCTTCACTAATACAGCACCTAGGGCAATGGAAAATAAAGAGAAAATAAACAAATGGGACTACATCAAAATAAAAAGCTTTTGTACAGCCAAAGAAATCATCAACAAAACAACAAGAAAGCCCACTGCATGGGAGAACATATTTGCCAATGTCATCACTGATAAGGGTTTAATCTCCAACACTTACAGGGAACTCATACAACTTAACAAAAGGAAGATAAACAATCCAATAAAACATTGGGCAATACACTTAAATAGATACTTTTTGAAAGAAGATTAAAGGAAGGCCAAGAAACATGAAAACAGGCTCAAAGTCACTAACTATATGAGAGATGCAAATCAAAACTACAATGTGGTACCATCTTACAACTGTCAGAATGGCTATGATCAACAAATCAACAAACAAGAGCTGGAGGGGATGCAGAGGGATTAAAAAGAACCCTTGTGCACTGCTAATAGGAATGCAAACTGGTGCAGGCACTTGGAAAACAGTATGGAGTTTCCTCAAAAAACTAAAAAATGGAACTTTCATTTGAACCAGTAATCCCACTTCTAGGAATATATCCTAAGAAACTGGTAACACCAGTCAGAAAGAATAAATGCACCCCTATGTTCATAGCAGCACAATTCACCATAGCTAAAATTTAGAAACAGCCTAAATGCCCATTAGCAGATGAATGGATTAGAAAACTATGGTACATCTACACAATGGAATACTACACTGCTGTAAAAGAGAAGGAATTCTTACCATTTGCAGCAGCATGGATGGAACTGGAGAGCATTATGCTAAGTGAAATAATCCAGGCAATGAAAGAAAATTACCACATGACCTCACTCATTTATGGAAAATAAAAAACATTATAACCTGATGAATAAAAAGATAGATGCAGAGACACTGAAGCATCAAACAGACTGTCAAATTACAGCAGGAGGGCTGGAGAGTGCTAGGGAGGAGGGGAGATATAGATCAACCAAAGGACTTGTATGCATGCATATAAAGCACAAACAATAGTCACAAGACACTGGGGGTGGGTAGTGGGATGAGGGCATGCACCAGGTGGTAGAGGAGGCTGAGGGAAGGCCAATGGAGGGGTGGGGGGAAGAGACTTATATACTACTATTTGTAATACTTTAAACAATAAAATAAAATAAAATAAAAAAAGAGTTGAGGAGAGAGAATCAGTAGAAATAACAAAGTTGGGATCAAGTGGACTCTAAAAAAGGGAGGCATATTGATTAACTCCCAGAATTCTAGCTTAGCAATTGGTGAGTGGGAGTTCAATACCTGAGGAGCAGAACGAAGAAGAGGGTCACTTTGTGGGAGTGGAGAAACTACTAGTGCTGCTATGACTGAGGTTCCTATGGAATATCTCTGTGTAGCCATCCAGACATGAAGCTGAAGAGATGAATCTGTAGGAAAAGGGTGTAAACAGGGAATGTCAATTTGGGAAAAGGCAGTAATAAACATTTTAAAGAAATTCTTGTATATATTTTTATATGCTTTTATTGATTTTAGAGAGAGAGGAAGGAAAAGGGATAGAAAGAAACATCGATGTGAGAGAAATACACAAATCAGTTGCCTCCCATTAAACGTGCAACTTGGGCAAGTGTCCTGACAGGGGATCAAACTGGTGACCTTTTGGTATATGGGATGACACTCAACCAACTGAGCCACACTGGGCAGGGAAAATTCTTTTACAACTAATCAATAGGAAAATCTCTCCACTACAAAGAACACATTTACAGCCCAAACTGTTTAAACCCTTAACATATTTTTAACATTCGACGAATGAAAGGATGGGTGAGTGAATGAGAGCTGTATGAGTAGCTAAAAGTTCCTATACAATTTTTATAGTTTGTTTAAGTGTATGAGTTTGTGTATGTGTAACTATATATGTATGTATGTGTCTGTGTTGTTATACATATGCACCTATATAAAATTAATAATATATATTGGTGCTATATATCTGCACTAGTCTGACATCTGACATGATGGCCATCATGAATACCAAGACTAGGAGGCTTAAACAACAGAAACTTATACTCTCACAGTTTTGGAGACTAAAAGTCCAAGATCAAGGAGCTCTCGGGATTGCTTGTTGGTGAGACCACTCTTCCTGGCTGGTAACCTGTGTCTTCTCACTGGGTCCTCACAAGACCCTTCCCTTGTCAGCACAGGGAAAGATAAGGGGTGTGTTTTTCTTCTAAGGTCACCAGTCCTAGGCTAGGACCCCACCCTATGGTCTAGAATTCAGTGTTTCCCAAACTTTCTATAATTATCGTAACGCTGAGTACCCCTCGTGCTCATGAGAACGTAGAATTAGGCGCGCAGCTAAGCACGGTGCAGTACATATCCCCACCAAACTCCGGTGCAACGCGTACCCCCACCAAACTCTTCCCATACCCTTGGGGGTACGGGTACCACACTTTGGGAAACACTGACTCTAGATGAACCTTAATTTCCTCCTTATTGGCCCTGTTTCTAACTAGTCACATGGGGGTTAGGGCTTCAATTTATGGACCTGGGGGTGGGCCACAGTTCAGTCCACAGTTGAGTACAATTGACATCCAGAAGGGCTTTCTCTGACAAAGGATAGTCTCTGTGGAAACAAAGGAACTTGCTATGTCAAAACAGGATACCTATGGATGGGGGCTGGGGGTGGGGGTGGGGGCCGGGATCTTTCTGTTAAAGTTCAGGGGTAGAGTGTACTTATTTATAAAGTAAATAATTCTTTTTCTGCTTTATCTGATTGTATAGCAATTTCTACAACAGATTTTCTTTATCATTTTAGTGAAGGCTATAAGTCACTCGCTCATAGATAAACCTTTAAAGAGTAGCTGAATGAGTAACATGGATTGTTACTCCACATTGCTCTATGGAAACCAGGCTGGACAAGCCAGAAAGGGTTGCCATCCGCCAAGAATGGCATACCACCAAGGTACAAACGCAGAGCAGAGATTCTTGTTGAGCACTGTGTTTCATTCCTGGCATGCGCGCACTTGTAATAAAGTTAACTTTCACTTATGGTTATAGTGAATGGAGGGGCTATCCCGGTTTCCTTTGAGCCCGTTCTGCTTTTCCTCTGCGCTCTCAGCTTCCCTCAGGCCCTGGCCTCTCCCTCCGGTTCCCAGAGAAAGCTCCTTGGGGAGGGCAGACCTCGCCGGCAGCCAGGTGGCTGAGACAGCGACGGGGTGGGAACTGCGGAGCTCCGAGGGCGCGGAGCCTCTGCATGCCATTCCCCTCCCACCCCGTCCCACGGCCCGGAGGCGGAGAGGCTGCAAACTCCGCTCCAATCCGCAGCCGGCCCTTCCGAGGTCCCTCTCGCCAGTGACCCGCCCGCGGACAGAGTTGGAGGAACTTCTCGGGCGCTCAGCGCCCCAGCCCGGGAGGCCGAGCGCTCCCCCCGCCCCAGCACCCCCACTCTCTCCGCCCCTGCCCCCCCCCAGCCCGGAGCGCAGGGACAGGGCAGCCGGCCCCGCACATCGCGTGTCTGCAAACCGGAGCCGCGCCTCCCGGGCTAAGGGCTGCAGCGGGCGCTGCCTGGGAGCCGCTGCCCACCGGGACCCGCGCTGCCATGCCCCCGCTGGGTGCCCGGGCCGCTGTGTGAGCGCGGGCGAGGGGACCTGCGCGGGGGCTGAAGATGAAGGTGCCCGCGCACGGGCTCCCGCTCACAGCCCAGCCCTGCCCAGCCCGCGCCCCGCACGGAGCCCGCGGCCGCGGGGGACCCGCCTGCGCCGCCGCCGCAGCAGCAGCAGCAGCAGCTGGAGCAGCGACAGAGGCGGCGGCGGCTGCGCCCGCGGAGCGAGCGCCCCGATCGGAGGCGGCGGCGGCGGCGGCGGCGGCGGCGGCAGCTCAGGGACCGCCGCTGCCCCGGCTGCCATGAGTTGTGCGGAGGTGATGTATCACCCCCAGCCGTATGGAGCGCCCCAGTGTCTGCCCAACCCAGTGGCAGCCACAACCTGCCCCACAGCCTGCTACTACCCGTCGCCCCAACCTGGCCAGCAGGTGAGTCATGGGCCAGGCAGCCGGCCGGGGGCGGGGCGGGGGCCGGGGGCGCCCGGAGCGTGGGGCCCGTGGCGCGGAGGATGCTCCGGGACCGACGGGAGCGCCCGGAGCAGACATGGCTCTGGAGGGAGGAGGCGAGGCTGCGGGCAGGGAGCGCGGCGGGGCGGGCGGGCGGCGGGGCTGGGAGGGAGGCTCTACCTGGCCGGGGGCTCCGCGGAGTGTGGTCGCCGGCACTCAGAGGCGCCCCTCCTAGCCAGCCTAGCGCCTAGGGCTCAGTTCTCTGGAGCTCACCAAGGGCATCTGTCCTAGGAGTATGTGAGTAAACTTCCCTTCAACCAAATATTTTGTTTCTTTTGGAAAGGTGGAGGAGTGTTTCAGGGTTTTCTTGGTTGAGGGGATGAAATGTGTCCCTGATTTAGGGGACGTAGCCTTACCTGGCCTGGGAGCTCAGGGAATGGGGGTTTTTAAGGTAGAAAACGGTGTGGAGTAATGTCTATCAAACGCTACCATAACTTCTTTGCAGAGTGTGTCTTCTTATGACTACCACTTTAGGGGACAGGGATTAATCCCCAAGTTCCTCATTCACTTTTTTTTTTTTAAAGATTAAATTTATTTGGGCAACAATGGTTTAATAACGTTAAATGTCTCAGCTGTACAATTCTTTGATACATCGTCTGTATATTGCTTTGTGTGCTCACCACCCAAGGCTAGTCTCTTGTCACCATATAGTCTATCCCTGTGCCCTCACCCCACCCGCATTCATCCTGCATTCCACCAAAGCAAGGAGGTGTTTGAGTTCAGCCTGTTGGAAGTAGTGTGTGTGTGTGTGTGTGTGTGTGTGTGTGTGTGTGTGTGTGTCCCAGTTTGGCCAAGAGGTGACCTTGGATCAGGGTTCTCTCCCATGTCAAGAGTGACTGAGAATGCTATCAATGAAAGGGGTTCGGGACCCAGGGAGATGATATAGTTCTTCAGAAGAGAGAGTCCGATACTGGGGAAGTTGGCACTCAGTACCCCTGGCTACTCCTCTCCGGACACCAGCACAGTGTGTCAAGGCTTAGTTAGTGCTGCACAGGACACATGTGAGTGCTGGTTCTGGGTTATACCAAAGCAGGGTCCTCAGACCCTCGGGATTAGAGTGGGTTGATTTGGTGAGACTTAAAAACATAGTTCACTTATGGGGGAACTAGAAAAGGTTAGAAAATTATAATCTACTGAATTTGTTGATCTGTTTTAAGTTTTTCAAGAACTGTTTTATGGTAGTCTTAAGGCGTTGGCTCCTTAGTTAATCTGGCCTTTTAATTTCTGTATTTTTCTTTTCCTCTGTCTCTTTGCTAGATTTGTGGTGCTACTCTTTGGGAAGAAATCATAACTTCTGTTTAGAATTAAGGGACTGTGAAATTCATCTGACTCGGAAAGGGTGCATGCCTCAGATTTTTCTGCCACACAGTGAGGTTCGCAAGGACCGACTAAGACCAACAAGGAAGGAACACCGTTTTCTTGTTATCATTTTTATTATTTAATACGCAGCAAGTTCAGCATCTCAGAAAAGATTACTTTTAGGGAGGAGGATGGAAAAACATTTTGTAATTTGTGGTCAAGGGTGACAGAGTGAAACATTTTGGTTATGCTGTTTGTCTTTTTCTGGCTTTAAATATAAAAGATATAAATAATGAAGAAAACCATTTAGTACAAGTTAGGGAGTGAGGCAAAGAGGTGCTGGGAATCAGTTTCTGTGTTTAATAAACACTGTCCCAGTTGACACACCCTTTTCTCCTCTCCTTGCTTCCATCGCAGAGACAGTAGAAGCCCTCAATTATCAGTTGGAATGTGGATGTGCAACAGACTCAAACTTTACTGAACATTCAGCAAGGTATTTTTCCTCCTAAAAATACCTTAAGCTAGTAGATGTGGATAAGGTTTTATTTTCTAGAGTTGTGAAAATAATTCCATTAAAATATGAAGGATCTGTGACCGGTGTTAGAACAATAATATTTTTTTGGGCTAGAGTATAAAATTTAATATCAGAAACATTATAAATTACAAGCCACAGCATTTAGCTTTCAATAAAAAGAAAACAACTCCAGTCCTTTACCTAACATTTGCAATAGCCCTGAGACTCCATTCCGAAATCTCATTCTTTTGCTAAGACCATCAATAAACTGAAGAATGAGCTCTCTCTGTTGCCTGACTTGTCAACATTGGCAAGGGGCACATATTAGTAAATAATGGACAACTTCCACTGTACCTTGGAATTCTGTAGATTTTGTTTGAATAGATGTGTGGTGGAGTTGACCTAAAGAAGTTAGTTGAGAGAGGTGCTTGCAAATTTGTATGTTGTTTTTACCAAAATGGTTTATTCAAGATTATTTTTTTAGTCAAGTAAAGAAACTATTTGCCTATAACTGGCTAACAAATGAAAAAGAGACTTGCTAGAATAATGATTGTTCCTTTACTGTCAGGAGTTTATTTTGATGACCTATATTTTCTATTGGAAAAAAAGAGTAAATCAGGAAATTCTTATCAGGCTGACAGCGTTTTTTTAGACTGTGTGGTGCGTGGGTGAAGTGGGACTGATACTGACTTGGCCCCAATGTAGTCATCTGAGAATACATATTTTGGTTGTTTTTGCATTCCATAAGGTTTTATCATTATTATCCATGAAGATCATTTTCTCCGTACATGGGAAGTGACCCCTAATAACATCTTGCCTGAGAGACAAAAATAAGGGCTACAACTTCTACCACATTTAAACATTAGATTTGTTGAAGAAAAAAAAAAAAGAGGGTAAAAGCAGGAAAAAAAATTATAAAGTTATTAATAAAGTGTAACAGTTATTAATAGAATGTTAGAAAACATAGTATTAAAGTTTTATATAACTTCTGTATTTAATTGTAGTAGTGTATCTTTGAACTGATTTTTTTCTCAAACCTATATAGCTCTGAAGTTCTTATAAATTGGTGTATACTTTAAAATGGTTCATTATGATGGATTTTTAAACATAGGTATATTTGTCCTCTTAATCTATGATCATATAGTTGAAAAAAGTTTTGGAACACTAGAACTTCATACTCCAGATATGTGTAGTTTTCAAGTTTTTCCTCACAGCACAAATATGCACTTAAATTTTTAAGCTAAGGTTTTTATTGAACATATGTGTTGTAGGTGATTAATAGGTTAGTACTGTAAAGCCATAGCTAACTGCAATGTGTTACCTAGGTGTACAGTAGATTAAATGAATCCAAGTAAAATGCAAATATGTCTGGGTTAATTTTGTAGGCCCTGGTGTTAATTCCTAGGAATTGCATGGCTATGCATGAATCTTGCAGTGTTCTCGGTAGAGTCAGCATTTGCCAAGGGATGCTAAACTCCCTGGCCCACCATCTCATTGTAGCCTTACTACATCAGCCCCTGACATCTCATGAGAACTCTTCACTCAGTCTTTCAGCACATGCTCTGAAGGCATGATGACACTGCAGAACGTGTGTAGAGAGGAATGCACTTGTATTCTAACAGTGACAGTAGGAACCAAGAAAAAAATTCAAAATATGTGTCAGGAAACATTGAGGGAAATGATTCTCTTCATACCCAGTGGATTTATCATCTTAAGTGCAGAGAGTCTGTTGTTCCCTGACCCTGCCCTGCCCTCTATAATCATAATGTTAATCTCAGGAAGATGCTTAAAGCAAAACTTTTAGAATTGTATAGTTTGTCGATGGGGTAGTGAAAGCTGAGAATAATAGCTAGTTTTCTGATTGGACGTAGGACTTTTTAACAATCATACTTTGGGCTTCAAGTAAGTGCACGTTTACTCTGTCCTCTTCAAAGATGACAGTTGCTGCGTGTAACTTTCACTTGAAAGAATTCAATGCCCTTAGGGGACATAACTCCAGTTATAAATTTGTAAGAGTTTAAACTCTCTCAGGACTCTGCTACCTCAGTTAGGTCATAAAACCTCTCTGAGATTCTGTTTGTCAGGGGAAAAAACTGGAAAAACATGCCTCAAGACCTCCTCTTACAAACAGGAACATGAACAGTCTTAGGACTCAGATGCCTGGCCAAATATCTCAAAGCTAATTGGTGACCAAATTAGAACCTTCAGAATCCCCTGCTCCCTAATGTAGCATCTTTCTACCATGCCATGCAATATCCCAAGATATATATATATATATATTTTGCTATTGCACAATAAGCTTATTCTTGTCTTTCGCACTCCAAGTCAACTTCTTGATAAAGAAGATTAATATGCAGTAGATTCTTTGGCCTTGGAACTTGAAATTCTTTCCAAGTCCTTGGTAGTGTACTTTCTTAGTTTAGGCATTCCAAAGTCCTTTTGCAAGCATTTGTATTATGCTAATGACTTTTGCTATCCATGTTGCATCCTTTGTTGATGAAGTAGGCTATCCACTTAGCAAATGAACATTTATTTATTTAAAATAGTATGCAAGAAGTGGTATTAACAGTCAGCTTTAAGTGCCTCATATTTCATTGCTATTCTAACATAAGTTTAGATTCATGAAGAAGATAGAATACAATTATATCTTAGGTAGTTTCAATACACAGTCCACTTATTTATGGTGCAGGACCTAATTTTTTTTGCAACTGTAAACAAGGACTTAAGTGGGTTTATAAGAATTCATCCAGGACTTTCTTTGAGAAAAAACAGCCCCTATAATTCCACACCACACAAATTTACTTGACTGCAGAGACTTAAGCGCTTAATGTACCTCACAGTTTTATGCTTCCAATAACTTTGCAGCCAGAAAATTCAAAGCTAGGAATGAAAATTAAACTTTAAAATAACTAACTGAACTGTTGTCTCCGGCAGTCAACCAGAATGAAGATTACAATAATGATAGTAAAGGCAGGCTTGAAATCTATAAAATCATTCTGAGTGATGGAAACCAAATTCCAGGACAAGGTAACACTCTTTGAAAATTTGAGGGTTTTTTTTTTTGATAAATGCAAGGAAGCCCCACTTCACCAAGCACATACTAAGTCTC